TGTTATGATTTGACTAGACAGAAAAAAAAATCTGTAATAATCTTTCATCATATTGTAATTAACTGATAGGGAACTTACACTGTTACACCTTCTCTGGTCTGGAATTTTGTTATAATGGGCATAATGGGTTAAGCAGAGGACATTTACCTGAGCTGGGATTGTGCATGAAGCCAAAGGTCAACATTAATTTATTTTTGATATGCTATCTATGCTAGTTTGGGTGGAGAGACTTAAAAAAAATATTTCCTCTAATTTTTCTGTTTTTTTTTTTTTAAGTTTAGACTTTAAAACCAAAAAAATAGCATGGTTTATTTATTTTGTTAAAAGATTTTCAGTTAAAGTATTTTTCGCTCTGGCTAAATGATATCGCTTTCAGTGCAAGTATTTTTATCCCCAGCACACACTGTACAACAGTCCAAATGCATTGTGATGGAGGGGTCTAGTGTTACTGCTGTGTTTGTGGAGGCACCTCTTCCTGTGATTATGTGGGGATTGTGTGACAGGATGTTGTGTTCCTGCTGATGATAATATTGCTGTTAGTTCACCTTTCTGCTGCTTTCAGGGTTCAGCTCGTATGATGTGTGTTATTTTGTGAGCTAGTCTTTTTAAATATCACATAGTATACAAACAGAAACAGTGAAATCAAATCCCAAGGTGTATGTTTATCATTTTAATATTTAATTTGTACATATGAACATTGTTTTGGATCAATGTACCAGCAGTTTAAATATTAAACTTAGTTGATTAGTTGATAGGCACAGCCAAGCAGCGCTCTGTTTTCCGTGGATGATGTGGTTCTTTTGGCTCATTAGATGGTGACCTCCAGCTCATACTGGGGAGGTTTGAAGCCCAGTGTGAAGTTGCGGAGATGATAATTGGCACCACCGTTACTGCCTCAAGTAGAGGAGTTTAAGGGGTCTTGTTCACAAGAAATGGAGAGATTGGTAGATGTTGCAGTGAAGAGAAAACTGAGTGTGAAACTGAAGCTATTGATTTACTGGTCAGTCTGCAGGCTTTGGGCAGTGGAAAAAAGAAGAGATCACGGATACAAACGGCAGAAATGAGCTCCCTCTGCTCGTGTTAATACTAGAGTTGTCAATATACTAGAATTTCAAACTCGATACTGAGGAAAATACTTGCTACTCAATACCATTTTCGATACTGCAGGGAAAAGTTTGACCCCGTCCTGCAACAACAGCATTAGTGATAAAGAAGTAATTTCCTGAAAAAAGTTAAGTTGTGAATTTCCAGCAAATTTTTCCAAATACAAGTTAGAATGAACAAAATAAGCATTTAAGATTCAATTTTAGTGGTTGTATTTGTTTAACAAAAAAATAAAAAATAAAATTCTGATAATTAATTACAGGTCATAACGGGTAAAATGTATTAAAGAGCAAAGAGTATAACAAGTAACACACATAACACATCTCAGTAATTCATTGTAGAATATCATCATTGAAAAGTTCACAATGAATTTTGGATCGAGTTGGGCTAAAATACACTGTGTATACGCTGCGAAACACTGAACCACTCACTGCTTGCATTTTAAATCTGACCACATGACTGTCTACATCAAAATGAGGAAGACGTTTTAATAAATTATTGTAAAAAAACAAAAAAACCCAACCTCTCATCCACTGTCTCCACTACTGTCTGCAGACCTGCACGTCCTCAGCTGCAAAATGATGATCGCTGGTGCAGACTGACTCTAATTGATTGTGTAGGCAGTCTGTCTCCATCTACAAATTGGACGGCAGTTATTTGCAAACCTTCACCAATCTGTCTGAGAGTGATTGCAGTCAGACTGCAGCTGTTTGGAGACTGGTTGCCTCCTGGATGTCTCCTCTATGAGGGAAGACAACCTGGGACAAACTCCGGAGAAATGAGATCTCTCAGCTGGCTTTGGAACCCTTGGTGTTCCCCTGAACTAGTTGGAAGAGGTTGCTGGGGATGCCTGAGTTTCTCTTCTTAGACTGCAGTCTAACTCTGATAACGGCTGACTGGCTTAACACGGGACTGGATACACAGGTTAAAAAAGCTATTGCTGGTCTTGTTACTTAGTACTTACCGTAGTTATGAGGAATACTAGATATCCAAAAACTGATATTTGACTCCCTGCAGAGAAAGTGTGAGTGGTGCAGGTGCCTTTACTGAGACCAGCCACATTGCAAATCCCAGATTTAGGCTGCAACTCTTCAGCCAGCGTTATTTTCATCCCAGAGAAGACCGGGAAGATGCTGTCATTTCCCCAGTGAGGCAGCCTGTGCTCAGCTTGCCACAAACTACAGGATGAGCTCATACTCGTATTACTTATTCATAGGCACCGTCACAGAGGCTGACGCAACCACAGCCAGACATGCTGCTAAAACGAGCCAGACAGGCTGGCAAGAAACAGGGCCGGTATGCATTAACCAGATGCAGCCAGACAGACAGGATGCAGAAAATATTGATCCAAAAGCTCCACCAAAACATGCAGATTGCCGTTCTTTGATTTTTGTTTTTTCACCCTGCTGCTCGGCTTCTTGTTTTGTCTTTGGCTGCTCGGTTTTGGGTGAAATCTTTATGCTTGAATAAGAAAATGTGCCCTTTTGCAGTTTATTTCTCACTTAGAGGAAACTGCCAGCACGCTCCATAGAGACCAATGGGAACTCTGTGTTTCATCCTGCTGCTTGTGTGAACATGCTGGGGTCGTTTGTTTATCTCACTGGTTGTAATTAGTGAGCATATTCTTTGACTGATGGCTGCTTTTGGACTGCAGCCCCCCCTCTTGTTTGCAGTTTTTGTCTTGAACCAGACAGAATTTCTTCCACACTTCACAGTGGAAACACGATGTTACAAGCTTTAGTGAAGCACTTATTATGGACCTCAGTGGACAGTGGGGAGGAAAACGTGGCAGAATAGTAGAGTGATACATTGAATTCAAGTATAGCAGGAGGGAAAAATGCCTGTCATTTTTAGTAACATGCAGTTTTTTCCACATTGGTTAGAGAAATATGATTTAGAGAAGCTGTTTCTGTGTGTGAACTGAGGTTATAATAATAATAATTATTATAATAATTGCTTTTTGAAATTGCCAGAGAGGGGCATTGCCAAATTTAGGATGGCAGGCTGGTGTGTGGGGTGAACAGTAGATCCCTGTTGGTGGAAATCCGATTCCAGGATGATGTGAAGGGAAGGAGGACGTCCTAGAGTGCTGTGTGGGGATCTGTTGGTGAGGAGGGGGATTTTGTAGGAGATACAGAACTTAACCAGAAGCCAGTGAAGATGCATAAGGGTGGGGGTGATGTGCTGCCAAGGCTTAGGGTGGGTGAGAACTCTGGCAGTTAACTTCTGAACATATTGCTAATGATTTTAAGACCATACTTGGCATTTAAGTATGGGTATCAGTTGCTGCTGACACTGCTGTTCTATGTACACAGGAAGGTAAATTGCAGTATTGTTTCGGCTTCCTTTTGTTCTCTTTGTGTTTGAAGAAAGTAATAACTGGACAAGCAAGGGTTGGCTGTTTCATGTTTGCCTCTGTGACCTTCTTTTTCTCCAGTTCAAGCTTCATGTTGACACACACACGCTCACACACCCACATGCAGCCTAAAGCACACAGAGCAGTAGCTCATGTGGCTCACTTGATGGGTATTTTGATGTCAGTGTCCACAGTAGTTGACATATTTCCACCTTTTTGGTTTGATTTTGTCTTAATGGAGAGCTTTCAGTACTTTGAAAAAGTCATGGTGTTCATCTGAGTTGACAGAAGTGACAAGGATGTTCAGTATTTGAGTGAAAAAGGCAGAGTAAGATCCACTATAAAAGCAGTAACAGTGCAAGCTGGTTCCAGCTGAAGAATTGCTACAGCCATTAGCAAATCTACAGCCATTGTGGTGGCCTTACGCAAAACAATTAAGTGACCAGCAACCACCAATGTGGGCTATAGATAAGAGTGTTTGTCCTGGGCAGGGTCCAGGGTTGATTGTGTTTGATGAGGGTGATTGTGGAGCAGGATGCTTGATCGTTTACCGCCATGAGGCAGTGCACTGTGGATAGAAAAAAAAAATCTACAATGCAACAAAAAACAAAACAAAAAAAGCTAATATATTAAATTATAAAGTTTAAAATTGTTGCACCACCAGTTGACAGTGAAGTCTTGGTTTCCTTTTCAAAAAACACCTCAAGCAAAGCAACCAGAACCCAAACCCAATGAAGCTTCCAGCAGTTTGAGAGGGATGGACTATAAAGATCATTTCTGGGATGTAAATGTTCGCCCTAGCTGCTTTCTGTCTCCATTCTTTGCATGCGTATCCTCCGTCTGTGTAAGCGCATGGAGATGTTAACATCTCCTCTTCCAAGCTGAACTGATCCCCTCTGAAGAGTCAGAAACCTTTGACTGCAGGAGCAGGACAATAACTGCAACTACTGCAGTGAACAGATGATTGGTAGCCCATGAAAAAGAATGATGCAGGACATATTTGACAGTTGTTGCATGCATCATGCTGATTCAACTCATCTGGACATGAAAATGCCTTGTTCACTCACAATAAATGTAAACAGTTGGCCCAAAAACCTTCAGCTGGATGGATTTCAATGAGAATGGATCGAATGTGGGCATGTGGCCACAGACACTGATTTCACTGGCTTTTGGGTTCCTCATCAAACCACCAATAATACTGAAGTCTGAAACAGTATGTCATATGTAATTTGTACGAATCAATCATTATTCCGTCCTCATGCTGATCTTAATTTTGCTGCTTCTGATGTCGAGTCTGCAGCTGATTTATTGTGATATGTCCACATGTGGTGGTTTAAATCAGGGATGCATGAGATGTACACAGCTCACTAATACTTTTTAGAGCTGAGCCAGCAGAAGGAAATGTGTATCTCATTTGTATGTTCAGAGTCATTCCACATGGACTGCTGAGTAATCTTTGAATTTGAACCCTTTGTTCACCGTGTCCTGAAAGTCCTTATTAAATGTGTCTTTTTCTGTCTTACTGTGTTTTTGTCTTTAGGACCAGTTCGAGAATCTGGACAAACACACTCAGTGGGGGATTGACTTTCTTGAGCGCTATGCAAAGTTTGTCAAGGAGAGACTGGAGATAGAGCAAAACTATGCCAAGCAGCTACGGTATACACACACACACACACACACACACACACACACACACACACACACACACACACATTCAAAATGTCAAATACAGAAAGTTATATTGATATACTTTAAGACAAAAAAAAGCATAAAATGCAGCTTTATGAGACACAGATTAAGTGATGGTGTTGTCTTTTCCTTCATATATATATACTGGGTAATCCTTTGATGCTGAAGATTCTATATTGAAGCTTTTTTTGTGCATTTGATCAGGCTAATGTAAATGCTGCCACTCCTGGGACTGAATCCCAAATGAATATTTATATCCTTTGGTATAATACAGCTGCGTGTGCACTGTTGGGTTCATTAAGAGCAGTAACACACCAACAGCAAAAAGCCTTTCTTCAAGACAAAAAATGCAATATACTGAGAATAGTATAAAAGTTTTATTCTAGTAATGTATGGAAGATGAAGAAGGTCAGAGATGAAGTGCTGCTTGTTTTGTTTTTTGCTTTTTTTTGCCATAGTTACATGTAGCACACTTAAAAAAGTCTAAAGCAATGCACTGACAATAGGAATGAAGACATGAGATGAAATGATGTAAAACTAAAAGAAGGGTAAATATATGTATTTAACAGCAGCCTGTCTTTGTCTCCAGCATGCTCAAAGTCTGAGCTATAACAGCATCAGCACAGTGCCTCGTGTGTTTATTCACTGTGTCTGTTGATTCAACCTTTTTCAAAACTCACCGGGCACGGACCTAGTAACTCACATTTAAAAACCAGTAGAGTCCCACTGGCGGCGCATTTGGGATTTCAAAGGGGGGATATCTCTTGTGAATAGATGAAAAAAGACACACACCGCTGAGGATTTGTGAAGAGTGATCAAAGGTCTGCATGAAACATGTTTCCAGGAAATCAGGCAGAAACTCCTTATTTTGTCACTGATAGCAAGACAACTCGCATGCATGCGTGTGTGCGTGCGCACACACACACACACATAGAGTTTGTTGCACACACACATTCCTCTGCACTCTAGCTAAATAATTAAATCACACTGTAACTGTAGTTTGTGCTAGCAGAGCCTGAGGGAATGGACAGGCAGAGACTTTGATGTTTAAATGTGTTATTCATCTCTAACAATAAACTATGATGCCTATTTTCTATATGTGTGTGTGTACATGTGTGTGTCTTTCTACCACAGTTAAAATGTCTTACACAAGTCTGCTTCTCTGTGTCTTTTGTCTGTCAGGAACTTGGTGAAGAAATATTGTCCAAAGCGCTCCAAAGATGAGGAGCCGAGGTGAGTAATCTTAAGTGTCTGTGTTTCTGCTTTTGTTTACTTGTCGGATGTCTGCAGACGGTAAGAGCGGAAAAGGCCTGTGGGACACTTTATAAATACTGTTTGTCTGTTGGAAGGACCCAGACGCTGGCTTTGATGCCATGGCATATGTGTGCTAAAAAAATAAAAAATAAAAAAAATTACTAAAAATGTCAAAACTGTTCAGTCTTTGTTTTTCTGTTCTTTAATTGTAAGCAAAAGCCACAGCCGAATCACATGACTGATTTTTGATTTTCATTAAGTAGAAAAGGATAATACACCATTAAGCTGCGAGTTTGTGAAGGCTGATGTCTTACAAACAAAAGTCTGAGAATGTGGATTCTTTGTTTCTTTGTTTGAGGGTTTGGAGACACAGTTTCTTTAGAAAGTTGGCACGCACTCATCATGGATGTAAATATTTTCGCTATCTTGGGTTTCAGTAAATTCTGTGAACTGCTTTTTTTTGTTTTTTAATGCTGGACTAGATGCATAACATGCAAATGACTCAGGAATTTATTATGTGTTTCCTAAAATATGTTTTAAGTTGAAATTTAATATACATAGCCAACAATATACTTGCACTGTCTTTCAGAGGTACTAAAAGTTTCAAAATGTGTTGACAAGACACTCACAATTCCTGTGAGTGATCCTGACTGATCACAGCTGCAGCTTCTTTTCTTATAGATTTTCTTTTCACAGCACTCGTCGGTCTGACCAAGAACAGTAAAAAAGTCCAGGGTGCTCAGTTCAGATCTGAAGAGGAGAACTGTAGATTCACACGCGTCTATAATGTTTCTTGCAGCCATTTCTAAGGCCCCAGTCACACAGACCTAGAGACCAGTTGGCAACTGCCTGGCAACCACTGGGCACTGTGGAAGAATGAGTATAATTTGACCAGTTGTGAGTGGCTGTTGATGGTTCCTGGCAGTTGTCGGGAAATCTCTTGTTAAAGCTCCAGTTATGCAGGCCAAGAGACTGGTCAGTGACTGCCTGGTAGCCACAGTACACTGGGGAACAATGTGCATTCCCTGAATGGTTGGTGAACGGTTGTGGAAGGTTGTTGGTGAAATTGGTCTTAGAGGTATATCATGCTGCAGTGAAAACCTCCTAGCAAGAGCAGATTGCCACAGCTGTCCGTAGTTTGTGTAGAAGAAACCAGCTTCTCTGCGACTCTCTAATTTCACCCAGCTTACAGCCTTCAGAAACGACACATTTTTCCCTTGGGACATGACGTGACCAGCGGGTTGCCAACTGGTTTCTGGGCCCATGTGCCTGAGAGCTCCAGAGTTTAATGTTTGCAGAACATCAGGTGAAAAGTACAAGTTTCTGGGGAGGATATCCATTTAGCTTAGGTCTGAAAGAGAGGCTGGCTGTCACCCTGAGATGAGTTGGTTCAGATGGTCAGAAGAAAAAAAAAATCCTCCAAGACATCAGTGAAACATCAATGTCACAGTCTGCTGTGAAGAAGCTTCACATCGCCATGGACTGATAGGCTGTTGTCCAAGAAAGATGCATGTTCTCTAGTACTGAGAGCTTCTGGAAATTAAATGGTCAGATGAGTCACACCTTTAGATGCAACTTTGTTTTGTAGGCATAAAAGTGAGGAACGAGAGCACTGTACCCATGATAATGAAGAAGGTAGACTGCCTCAGCATAACCTCAAACTGCCATTTGAAGCTTGGACTCAGCTGGGCAGTGACCTCAGTCACACATTAAGGCTGCCTCTGAAATATATAAAACAACTAAAAGTCAGTTGCCAGGAAAACAACCATTTCAATTTAACTCCACTAATCCTTCCTAGAAGAGCAACCAGAAATTGTGCCAGAAACTTGTTGACACCAGAAGCACCTGGTAAAGGTGCAGCTTCCCGAGAGTCACTTTGTTTTTTTAAAATCAGGTGCGCTGCATGTAAAGTATGTATACCCTGTATTTATTTCTGCAAAAATTAAAGCTTTGATTTAAATGATGTTTGCAGTGTAATCATTCAGCCTCAATACAACAACAGTTCACAGAAATAATTGAAAGGCTAATATTAACAAAACATTCACCTCCATGATGAATGTATGTAAGCTTCTAACTGCAGCGGGATACGTTAAAAGGAGTTCCACACCAGTTTGAGTGTCATTTATATGTAACTAAAGAATATGACACAAATAAAAAAAACTAAATAAAGCAGTGCAGAATGTTTGGATGTAGTTTGTTTGGAGCAGGGGTGTCAAACTTGAGGCCCGGGGATCAGAATCAGCCTAGCAAAGACTCCAGTCGGGCCCACTGGACAGCTATGGAAAATGTAAAGAAGAGCATAAATTTTGGAGTTGTAACTGCATTTTCATACATTTAGGCGATAAAGACCTTCCACATGGCCATTAATAATACACCAATGTAATTAAGTAATAGATTAAACAATGGAATGACTGAAAGGTTCCTGTATTTCACTATCTAAATATGTCCATTGAGCTACCAGATCCTTTCCTGTAACTTTACACATTTATTTCTTACAATTTAAGCCTAAAGAGCAGTGCTGGCCCATTTCTTTCATTTACTACTGCCGTATATTTTTTTGTTTTTCAAAACAAAGACATGCTGTTGCAGTTTCACTTCTTTTTCTTATATTAAGATATTTCAGGACTAAATGTGTAGATAAACTTCTTTACACTATAAAAAACAAAGGGAGTTTCACTGATCCGGCCCACTTAAGATCAAAGGGAGATGCACCCATGATGTAAAATGAGTTTGATGTCCCTGGCTTAGAGTTTATGTTTTTGTGCATATGCGTGTAGTACACTAGAAGACACGGGACATGTTATGTCTTAATCACGTGTTAATTATGTGTCTCTCCTGCAGGTTCACGTCATGTCTGTCTTTCTACTCCATACTCAATGAGCTTAATGACTATGCCGGTCAGAGGGAGGTGGTGGCGGAGGAGATGGCTCACAGGGTTTATGGCGAGCTGATGAGGTACAGCCAGGACCTGAAAGCTGAGAGGAAGCATGTGAGTACATTAACATGTTCATACTTCACTGCTCCCGCTGCGTGCCACTGAACAAAAGCCAAACATGTGCTTTCTTTTCTGTCTGTTTTCAGCTCATTCGCTGTTAGATCACATTTGTCAAAGAAACTGTTGCTTCCCGTTATAAAACGGATGTTGCTGTTTGCCCTTAACATCCGCTGTGTCGCTTTCATATGAATTTGTGTTCTGCTTGGCTTTACTTAAGAGGATAAATATGTTGGATGTAATGTTAACCATCTGTCTTTTCCACCATCTGCTGATGGCAAAAAGTGAAAGGCTAAAAGCCATGCGTTTGGGGGAAAACAGCGCCCTCTGCTGGTTTTGTGCTTTATAGCAATCCAACACTCATTCTTGTAGGGACAGTAGTATCTTAGGATTACACCAACATGATAGTGGTTTTTGTTTGTATTTAGATGTTTAAAGACTACATATAGGTTTAGGATCAGGACGTTTTAATAGCAGGTGGGTGGGGCTGCAGCTAGAGAGACTTCGTGATATCCTTCGTAGCAGCTCAAGTCTTTCCCATCTATAATATAATCTTTGAACAGAGTAACTGTACATTTAGGATTGAAAAGCATGAAAGGTTGGCATAGATTCTAATGCTGGCAGAGAAGTGCTGTCCATTCTTTCGTTTATAATATATTATCACAAATATACTAATATCAGTGTGGCAACAATCCCAGCTGAACAGCCACTGCAGTATTAGTCTTATAAACTTTTAAGTGCATCACATAGTTCTCAATATGCATGTCAACAGATTCATTTCCATGACAATCGCACAAACTAAGGCGTCTGGTACAGCTGAGGACATTTACTGCTTTAGTAACTGAACTCAACTCTTCCTTCAAGTAATTGTTGTTATATATGTGACTGTGACACAGAGTCCAGTAATTTTGCATTTGTGCACATATTTATATGTATTTTCTGCTTCTGTGTAAATGTGTCTCGTTGTGTGTGTTTGTGTGTGTGCATAAATGAGCAGCATCTACAGGAGGGCAGAAAGGCCCAGCAGCATTTGGATCACTGCTGGAAACAGATGGACAATGTAAGTGAGGCGAGAAGGAGGAGGTTTGAGTAGAAAAATGTACTGTTTAGTGTAAATATCATCTGCTCAGGACAGCCGGCTTTATTCATCTCATACTTGTTTGCATGAGGAATGTAAGATATGTTAACAAAGGTAACAGAAGGACAAATAGGATGCACTTTATCCCCCACTTTCACACGTTACATTATTTATACAAGAATGAAATATGCAATTTCAGGGTACTTGCATTTGATTTTAGCATTTCACTATCTGTGCTAATTTATATATATAAACACATATATATGTATGTATATGTAATATTGTAATATTAAAGCACATGTTTCTGAGTGTGAAAAGACAGCTGGGTTCCTTTCTTCTTCCTGGCAAACTTCCCAGTCTGCAGGGACTGAAGACAGGGGCCAAGACCAGGAAACACACTGAAAAAACACACATACACAGAGCAACCCCTCCCACAGCAAGGCAAGGCCCATGTGCCGCATTTGGCCCCTGACAGGCCTGCTTTTTGGCTCTTTACGGGCTCAAGAGAGAGAAAGAAGGAGCGAGAGATTGCACTTGTTCATCTGAGATCATTCACTTGCGTGAGCTGAGTTATTTTACACCAGTGCTCATTACAAGACCTCTCTGTAATCACAACAACTCCAAAATAAACGTAAATAAAAAAGTTAATAATTCTTATCTTTTCACATTTCCTGGCCCGAGGCCCATTAGTTGAGTTCAGTGCTGCACAACCATTCGAGTGTTTCAGTGTGTGGGCTGCGTGACTTTAATGGTGACTACCTGGTGACTGAACTGTAATGTCTCAGCTATTCGCTGCGTTTCCTTCATTGGTAATGTAACCCAGATGGCTTGGCAGGAAATAAACTATCCTCCTCTCTGATTCATCTCCCTCTCATTCACATATTTTTTTATTTTTACATTTTTTTTATTGAGACATGAAATGGAGAGGCTGCGAAAATGTTATAAAATCTTTTGATTACTCAATTTATTTAAAATTGTGCGTTTATTTTCTCCCTTTCAGAGTAAAAAGAAATTTGAAAGAGAGTGCAAAGAAGCAGAGAAGTCCCAGATCACCCACGAGCGGCTAGATAATGACATCAACGCCACCAAATCAGAGGTGGAGAAGGTAGGAAGCCCCCACCTGTAATAACACCGTTATGTGCCTTAAACTGTAAGATGCTGTGGTAGCAGTCTCCTCGGCTTGTTTGCACTGTGGGATCTATGCAATGACGTGACTTTTCCCTCCTTTTGAAAATTAGAAAACACAGTATTTGAATTTGTTATGGTTTCAGAATTAGTCGTAGCACCGTGATGCATGTGATTTATAATGTGGACAGACTGGAGGTTGGTGGGACATCAGTGACTGTTGATGTTGTGTTGGTGTGTATGATCTGTTCAGGCCAAAGCCCAGTTCTACATGCGCACTCACGCGGCCGATGAGAGCAAGAACGAGTACGCCGCTCAGCTCCAGAGCTTCAATGCAGAGCAGTGGAAACATTTCCACAGTGCCATACCACAGATCTTTAAGGTAACTCAGACATGTTGAACTGTAGCTCTGGCTCTCTCTCTACAGCACACCTTCCTCCCCTCACACAGAACCTGTCACAACACATAGTCCCTCCTCCATGAACCTGGAGGTTTCTCCCTGTTAAAAGGGAGATTTTCCATCCCACTGTCGCCAAGTGCGTGCTCATGGAGGAGGGGTTGGGTTGGGTGTTGGGGGGTCATTTGATTTTATTGAGGGGTCTTTACCTTACAATATAAAGGACCTTGAAGAGGTTGTTGTTGTTATTTGGCTCAATATAAATAAAACTGAAACGATTTGAAGGGAATTGTACCTTCAAGTCCACGTTGTTATTTACTGACACAATCTCACTGATTCTTTTTCATTGTTTTTCAATGACTTTGTATAAAGGTTTCCATTTCAGTGAAAGCATAGTGCTCTGTGTTAGTGACCCATTAAATGTTTAACACATGGCTTTAACTGATCTTCTAACCAGGTATCAGTGTTTGTCATTAAAAGGATCTGCTTGCAGGGGTTTGCACGTGCGTCTATGTGTGCGTCTATGTGTGCGTCTATGTGTGCGTCTATGTGTGCGTCTATGTGTGTGTAGTACTTGGCTACTTCCTAGTGTTGATTCCATTTCCTGTGCTCTGTGTAACAGAATCTGCAGAACATGGATGAACGTCGGACGGTAAAGCTTGGAGAGACATATCGAAGCTTTGCTGAGGCAGAGCGGAGAGTTATTCCCATCATCTCCAAATGTCTAGAGGGAATGGTTTCAGCTGCCAAGGCTGTAGACGAGCGAAGGGTAAGTGTAGGAAGAAAGGAAAAAGAGCGGTTATTGCTAGCATCTTCAGAAATCTGTCTGTCTAGACGTGGGGTTGGTGTTTGGATAAAGATAGGAAAACTTATTTTCCTCCTCACTTCCCAGGATTCAGCAATAGTTGTGGAGTCATTCAAATCTGGCTTTGAACCTCCTGCTGACTTCCCCTTCGAGGACTTCAGTCAGAATTTGAGCAGAACGGGCTCAGATGGTACCATCAGCAACACGCCCAAAGGAGACAGAGAGCGAGATGGGGCACCGGGGCCACGATCTGATCCGAAACACCCCATGAGCAGAACCAAGAACAAGCTCTGGCTGTTTGGGAAGAAACCAAAGGTACAGGAAGTGATAAATGCTTCTTGTTGTTGAATAATTCACCCTTGTGGACCTGTTCATGTTAGTCTATCAAATGGTCTGTATTTGTATAGCGCTTTACACTATACACAGTCATCCACCCATTCACACACTGGTGATGGCAAGCTACATTGTAGCCACAGCCACCCTGGGGCGCACTGACAGAGGCGAGGCTGCCGGACACTGGCGCCACTGGGCCCTCTGACCACCACCAGTAGGCAACGGGTGAAGTGTCTTGCCCAAGGACACAACGACCGAGACTGTCGCAGCCGGGGCTTGAACCGGCAACCTTCCGATTACAAGACGAACGCCCAACTCTTGAGCCACGATCGCCCCTAATCAAAATATAGACCTAAAAAAATAATAGTGTCATAACGTAAAACATCCAGAAAAGATCTGAAAATTTCTGTTTGCAGGTGAATTTGCAGTTATTTACCCATAATCCTTAGATGTTTATCACTCAGTAGGATCTTTATAAGGGCTCTCCATAGTGACCTACATACCTACATTGCACTAGAGCAGTTCTTTAACAGACTTCATACATACAGTCAGACAGCTTTATTAGGAGCTCATTTGATTTTAACCGTCCCTGCCCTTTACATCATACATTTTTCTCTTACAGAGTCATTTTTTTTGCATATTTTCAGATATTATTAATGTTATTCCCCCATATTTAATCACTTCCTCTGGATCAAGCTTGTATTCTCAGCTCGCGTTGAGCTGCAGCTTTTTTTTTTTTGTCACCTTTCCAATAACAACACCCTCAAATGCTTCCTCCAACACACTCCTTGGACCTTGCCCCTCTCCATAAAGACCGTATTGATCAATCATTAACTGCCTGCTGTTGGTTCATCTGAGCGTCATCATTTCTTTTTAAAGACTGTGTGGCTTAGATTTGACATCACTTCTTTTCAACAGAGAGCTCCCCCGATCCACGTTGACAGAAAAATGTTAAAGTCAAACTGATCTCAGTTTGGAATAAACAGTGTCCACGCCGGGCTCCAGCAATCATGTGAAGAAGCTGATTGAGATTGATTTTTCAGGAGATTTGATGAGTTGCATGTGGAGGTTTTTGGTAGATCTCTACAACAAAAATGTGCTGAGTTAGAGGATTCGACTGTGGATGGATTATGATGGCTGAACCACTAAAGGACTCGCATGCAGAGCTCGTACCAGCAGAGTGGGGAAAGCACCCTTTTCATCTGGATTGTTTGCATTCCCATCAGATAAACTGAATATGTATTTGTGTATGTGTCACTTTTTTTGAACAAATTAGCGTCATAAACTTACTTCCTGTTTTATTTTCAAAGTTTATTAGGTTTAAAGGGCTCGGCGAATTAAATGTAGAAGTTCCAGCGATCGTTAAAACCCAGAATTTCATCCTGATCTAAAACGACCTGCCGTCAGGAGAAACACTGCACCGTGAATCCAATAAGTCATCCTGACCTCTGGCTCTGTCCTCTCTTCCTGCCCCCCACCCAGTCCCCCGCCTGTTCTCCTCCTCCACCACCTTCCTCCTCTCGTCCCTGGTCCACCTCCCAGTTATTCCTTGCACGCCGGTTTAGTTCTGACCTCGTCAGCCACTACCTATCTGAGATAAAGACTACAGTTCCCAGAATCCCGCGAAATTTGCGCAGCCTGAGGAGAGGGGTGAGACAGACAGTAGTGCCTGTAGTGTGTTCGAGTGAGACAGGTTGATGTGTTTTTTGGTTTTCGATTCTTCTACAGGCTGTCTGCAGGCCCTCTGTGAACGATAACAATCTTGACTTACACAATGAGCACAAAAGGCACACTTTCAGTTTTGACCTGGATCGTTTAACTACTTTTGTCCTTGATTGATGAATACATCGAGCCCATACATTGTCGTTTGACTTGAGAAACTTGCAGACACCCTAAAATATGATTTCTTCTTCTCATTTCTCCTTTTTTTCCTGTTTTCCCTTCCTCCCATATCCTCCACCCTCTGCTTTTCTTTTTATCTCTCGTTCTTTTTTCTCTTGGTGTGATTATTTTGCTTCCTTCATGTATAAGATGGAATTTTGCTCTAATCCCAAGACGGAGGATCCTTGGTGATTGACGGTGTGTCGGTGTGCGAGGGATTCAGAGGGTATTTTTGGCATTGTGGCTGCAGTGATGTGTTCGTGGGAGGCATACAAAATAAAAACAGAGATGCCAACATCAGACATGTTGTGCAGATGTTGGTCTGAGGCTGTAGTTGTAGTGTGTGTGTGTGTCGCTCTGCTAATGGCTTCATTCAGCTGTCAAACAGAGCTTTTTGCTCTCTCACAGTTTTAACACAAACATGTGAATAACATTCAGACTCCGTTTCAGTCCTCAGCTTTAATTGGCTTTTATTCCTTTCAGGTCTGTCAGCTTCATCTGTGATTGGCGGCTTTTTGTTTGGTCTACTAAATTTGATGCAATCTGAGAGTTTAAACAAGTGTTTATGATAATGGATTCATTTTGAGTGCATCTCTTTGAGCCGCTTTATTCTTCTTGGACAGGGTAAAAACAAAGCAGTATACTGTTAACAGTAGATTCATGGATAGATGGATAGTTGATGAAGTACCAGTATGGAACGTGATAATATCTTGCAATTTGAAGCCCTGTTATTGGATCGTACTTTGTTTACCTCCATGTCTGCCAGCATGAATCTGCCATCTTTACTCACAGGTACTGTGCCTGTGAATATAACACACACTGCTCGCTGCTGATCTTTGAAAAAATGCATCTGCGCTCCTGTGTTATTGCTCAGGTGCAGCCATGCCTGGGCCATGTATGAACGAGGACAGAGGATTTAAAAAAAAAAAAAAAAGAAAGAAAGAAAGAAAAAAATCTTATGCTGCTGAATTTGGAGCACGGTGTTCATTCTACTTTACAGATAATGTGAGGACATTTTAAAATGAAAAATTTCAGTTAGAAAATGCTTGTTTTTGTAGACCTAGTATGAGTTTTATAAAATATTGTGCAAGGTCCATATTATTCTGCAGCTGCTTTTATTGTGAGGCTCTGCCGTGAAATGTAAAACAGGACAGGATCAAGTCAATACGATTAATTTTTATTTATTGAGCAACCTCTTGGCGACACTGGGAAGGAAAATGTTTTTTTTAACAGGAAGAAAACCTCCAGCAGAACCAGGCTCAGGGAGAGGCAGCCATATGCAGCGACCGATTGGGGGTGAGGGATGGGAGACGAGACTGAAGACACACCGTGGAAGAGAGTTTGACTTGGTTAGGAAGCTGCCGATGAGCCATTTAGCAGCACAGCATATGACATTTTATAGGACTGGGTCAGAGCCTGTAGTCAGACCTCCCTGAGCAAGATGGCAGCAGCAGCAGCAGCAAGCCCGGCTTTATGTGGAGAATGAACTGTGCATCAGTGACTGTTGTGCTGCCACCTGCTGTCAAAGAGCAGAGTAGCACAAAGCCAGCAGCAGGATGCAGTACTTTACAAGACATTCCTTTAAATGTGAACTGTGACTCAAACGCTCTGCAGGCTGTCACTGCCCACACATTGGGTAGTTGGGATGTTGTTATTTGATGCAAGAACATGTTTTTAACTACTTTACCAGTACGTTTGTTGCTCTCTGTTAGTTTTGTGTTTTCCTTTGTCCCTTAATGAATCAGCAAGAAATCTTCCCACCATGAGAATCTCCTGAGTTATGGAAAGTGCTGTAACTTTGCACTAAAAACAAGCAGGAGTGGTGTGTACCTGTGAAAGCGTAAAACGCAATCAGCGGGAAGTTTCATGGGGGGGGGACACACACACACGCTGCTGCTGTGTTTAGTAAACACGAGGTGCTGGACCACACTGAGAATGCACACAGTAAACACATCCAGTAACCAGTGTGAACACTCTTCTGACAACTAACAGCATCCACTGTTGTTCTCTCTTTTTTTGTTAATGTGTGACGGCTCAGTGGTCAGTGAAGATGGTAAGTGAGTCTGCGTGAGTGTGTAGACTAGTGCTGTTGAGAAGACTCGGCCATGTAGGTGCCAGTGCATCTAACCTCACCATGTAGGACTCCCATAGTGTCCAACAAACAGTGCACAGCTCAGTAGTGTTAGCTGGCCACTTCCTCTCCAGGTAGAATAGATTTCCTGTTGTCTGTCAGTACAAACAGTGCATGTGGATCCTCACGAATACAGACTTCCTCAGTTTTAGAGGAACAGCTGTTGTTCCTGTCAGCTGCATTCAGAGCTGTTTATTAGGCTATATATAAATTATTTATATTATTATCATGCTTTATATATTTTCTGCTATGGAATTGATGAAGCAGACTCATCACACCATGAGTGGACTTTAAGGCCAGCACAGAGTGTGTGAGCTGTCCCTTTGAGCTCACATTAATCCAGTCTTCATGTTTTCCCTCTACACTGTGCTGCTGTTTATCCCTGCAGATTATTTTGGTGTGAGTCGCCCAGCTAAGCAAGTGAAGCATGCAGCTAGCTAGCGTTACAGTTCAGTATTTGCATACCGTCACGAGCCCGCGTCACAGGCGGAGGCACACTGATAAGGCTGGTGGTGCATGGATAGGAAGGTTTGTTTGTGTTGTTATTTTCACTAGCTAGGTCATGCTTTGTGGAAGAAAATGTTTTTTTTTCTTTAATGTATTTTTTTTTTAGCGTTGTGGAAAAGTCACGTTGATTAGTTCCCCTTTTTTCAAATTAAGGCACACATCTCTCCAGCTGATGTCTCAAGAATGAGGCGACTCGCATCAAAGCACTCTAGATGGATATTTACTACTGAAGATCAAAGGTTTGATTTGGTGGTCTTCTTTAAAATTCAGAGAAAGGGAAAACAGCAATGTGAACATTTCCATGACAACCGAACAAATGAATTGCTGATGAAGCTCTTTTGACAGTTTCTGGATCAGAGGCTCTAGAAAAGCTGCTGTTTCTTTCACCTCTAACATTTGAGCTGCTTATTTCCACAACAAACCAGCTCACGCTGCAGCATCTGGGCTCCTAATGGAAATGAGTCGCTGGTGTAATTGCATCTTAACAAAGAAGCAAATGCAATAAGCTTTGTTGCTTTTGTTGTGCTTTCTGGGGATCATTCTCTGGCATCACTCATCTAAAGTTAATCAATTCCGCGACAGAGTCTAATCCTGTTTTTGTTTTGTTTTTTCCTGCCCCAGGCACCGTCTCTGGAGGATTTCAGCCACTTACCTCCTGAGCAGAGGAGGAAGCGACTGCAGCAGAGGATTGATGAACTCAACAGAGAGCTCCAGAAAGAGATGGATCAGAGGTAAGACACTGCCCAAGCCATCCAAACCAGCAAGATTGTAGGAAACCTGCTCTGGATCTTACAACTGTTAAATGATGTCACTGTCAGATATTTCCATCCAGGATCCAGGTTCGCTTTTATGGCCCTCGAACTGTTTATCGCCATCAGTCTGCTCTATAAGCTTGGCTTGCTTGCTTGTGTGTTTCTGTCAGAGATGCTCTGAACAAGATGAAGGACGTGTATGAGAAGAATCCTCAGATGGGAGACCCCAACAGCCTGCAGCCCAAAATATCAGAGACCATTTGTAACATGGAGAAACTGCGCTCCGAAATCCACAAAAATGAGGTAAAGACAGGACAACAAGGTCTCAGTCATTATCTACATGCAGCTTCTGGCCACCTGTTGAAATGTATACTAATGAACCGTGTCACTGACAGACGTGGTTGTCTGAGGTGGAGGGAAAGCAAAGCTCCAGAGGAGACAGAAGGCACAGCGCTGATAACCATCACCATGGTCCTCAAGGCAGAGAGAGGTATCAAATGTTCCCGTCTTTTCTTTGGAGGACTTATGTTTCTCACTGAAAATGGACCTTTGTTTTTCACTGTTCAGAAAAGTTAAAGAAACAGATTGAAAACACATCAGATCTCAATCATGCACCAGAGTTAGGACTTAAAGGATGAAAAGATGCCACATCTTTGGATGGAAATGAAAGGGCAGATTTCAGAGATAGCCCAAAAATCAAATCAAAGAAAACTGATGCAGCAAGCTTGTCCACTTTGCTGAATTTAATTGGGGCAGCTTAAATTGGTATTCAGCGGCTGGTCTCGCCCCCACGTCCTTTCATTTTTCTGTCCAGCATATTTTCTACAACTTTATTCAGTTTTCTTTATATAGCTCCAAATCACAACAACAGTTGCCTCAAAGCAGTACAAATGTTTCATGGGCCAAAGTAAAGCCTTTTCCCTTTTTCGGTCACCATTTTTCCATGTGTACTCTCGATGCACGCTGGTTCTTGTTTATCTTCTAAATCAAATATAAGTGTGACCAGTCCCGTGCACACTAAGCTCACGCCTGTTTCCTGTCAGCCCTGAGGGCAGTTACACAGACGACACCAGCCAGGAGCATCAAACGCCTCATCACCGGCCCGGTCCAGCGCAGCCTCGACATCCCAACCCCGACCCACACGAGTTCGACGACGAGTTCGACGACGACGACCCTCTGCCTGTCATCGGACACTGCAAAGCGCTCTACTCGTTTGACGGTAAGCACGTGCAGTCTGAACTGAGCTGGTTACAGAGTATCAAGCCTGATGTGGTCAAAAACAGGTCTAAGTGTCCTGTTTTTGTTTGACTCTCAGGTCAGAACGAGGGCACGCTAGTGATGGCAGAAGACGAGGTGAGACTCTTGAGTTTGATTTGAATGGTGCAATTTGAAAACTCGTCTCCGGTGAGTCGTGGGAGAACGTGACGTCCTGACTGTCTGCCTGCCCGCAGGTGTTGTACATCATCGAGGAGGACAAAGGCGACGGGTGGACGCGGGCGAGGAAGCAGAGCGGGGAGGAGGGCTACGTTCCCACTTCCTACGTAGAAATCACGCTGGAGAAAAACAGCAAAGGTGCCGTCACCTACATCTGAGGCTCCGCTGTCCTCTGTCTGTCACGCTCTCCATGTCTGCCTGCTTCTCAGTGTAACACCACTAAAAGGAAAAGAGACATCACTGTGAAACATCTGCATGGACTCCTGTCGTCTTGTTTGCCTCGTTTCCATCCCATCCCTTCATCCTGCACGCCCGCTCATTCTTTTAACCCCATAATCACTCGTCTTCCTCTCATACCTGCGATGTTTCTAAGCACAAACAGGAAGGACTCATCGTGCGGTGTTTGAGCGATTTGTGTGTAATATGAGGCATTCGTGTGCGCATCCACCGCTGTATGTAAGCTACACCTCTTCTCCTAGATCAAATGAATTAAGATTGTTTTATATTATACGTTAGAAAGACTTTATTTTTATTTTAACACGTATTCTAATTATTTTACTGTCTATGTTATTTTTAACTGGAGATGATCAAATTCTTGATTTTAAGCTCTTGACATGTCTGTGTTTATTGAAATGAAATATGCTGCATTTACTTTGCCTTTCTGTCTGATTTCTCTGTGTGTGTGTGTGTGTGTGTGTGTGTGTGTGTGAAGCAGAGATGGAGATAAATTGCGTGCTGACTTT